CAATTTTTATTAGAGGCAGCTGACACCAATAATTTTGTGGTAACAGGCCAAAGAGGAAGTATGGAGACAGTACTTAATAAGGAAGTACTCCTGTTCCTTATTTGGCCTATTCTATCACCAGGCTTGGGAAATTCCCTGTGGTCTATGAGCTGCTAGCAGGTAAAATATGGGCTTCCCAAACAGAAGACACCAGGAAGTGGACTGCTAGAGGGTCCAAACCACCACCTTACCAATTCAATAAATAGTTGATTTGATCATTTGGTGCAAATCCATGATCTGGCAAGAACATCCACTTGCCATGGTTTTGCTTGATCAAGTTTGAATCCTAATGTGACTTGAATTTTCCCATTAATTCAAAAACCTTCTCATACTCTCCAACAGTAGGATTGTACAGTCATGCATTGCTGTATGCAAATTTATATCATTTTTTCACACAAATAGAACTTTTATTTGGTGGTATTTGAGCACCACTGTTTTTTTTTATTTTTTGAGATATAAAACCGAACATTTAGAAAAAAATATATATTTTTCTACTTTCTGCTATAAAACATATCCAATAAAAAATGTAAAAAAAATTAGTTTCTTTATAAATTTTGGTCAAAATGTATTGTGCTACATGTCTTTGGTAAAAACAAACAAACCCCAATATGTGTATATTGATTGGTTTGCATGAAAGTTATAGTTCCTACTAGTAAATTTATATCATTTTTTTCACACAAATAGAACTTTCTTTTGGTGGTATTTGATCACCACTGTTATTTTTTATTTTTTGAGATATAAAAGAAAAAAGACTGAACATTTAGAAAAAAATATATTTTTTTTCTACTTTCTTTTATAAAAGATATCCAATAAAAAAAAAAAAATAAATAAATTTCTTTATAAATTTTGGTCAAAATGTGTTGTGCTACATGTCTTTGGTAAAAAACAAACAAACTCCAATATGTGTATATTGATTGGTTTGCATGAAAGTTATAGTGCCTACTAGTAATAGTGGCAATCTGCGACTTATAGTGGGACTGCGATAGTGCAGAAGGCAATCTGACACTAACTGACTCTAGGGGGAACTGACTAACTGCCACAGACACTAATACAGCAATCAGTGCTAATAATATACACTGTCACTGTACTAATGACACTGGCTGGGGTTAACATCTAGAGTGATCAAGGGGTTAAATGTGTGCCTTACAATGTTTAGTGTGTTTACTGTGTGGTGTTTTACTAAGCAATTTGCCGGTTTTTACTCCGTACTTTGCAGGGATGAAAACAGCAGATCACTGCTGTGTAAAGAGAGCTCTGTGTTGTTTTTCGCTGTCATTCGCTGAACCGATCAGCGGATCCTGGCCATAAATCATTGCCGAGATCCACTAATCTCAATGTGCTGCAGCCAATGACAGCACGGTCTTCCAGGTTCTCACGCGCATGTGCGAGTGAACCTGGAAGAAAGCCGTGACATACAGGTATGTGTGCCTGTACGAGCCGACCTGTCGCAGTAAATGTACTGCAGTGGAACAGCAAGCGATTAATAAGAAAAAAACACATACATTGTTAGAATTTGTTTGAGAAAAAAATTCCACCCTGTGCCTTTCAATTTTCTCATTACTGTGGTCAAAAAAAAGAACATCAATTTGAAAAATGTCGAACTAAATTTTCCTAGTGTATGCCCAGCTTTAAACCTCATACTCTCTGAATATACCTTACCAGAATAACAGTTTAATATTAAAGAGGAACTTTGATCATAACAACCTGATGAATAATAATATTCTTTAGCAAGGAACATACATTCCACATTAATATGTTTGCTACCAAAATAATGCGAGCTGTAAATTGCCTCCAGCATTATTCCTGCTTCTTCTGGCTGGAAGCTGCCATTTTGCTGAAGCCCAGAGCCCCTGAGCAGCAGTAAATCTTTAGGCTTTCAGCAGATCAGGCTCTAGTTTTTTCGGCAGTGCCAAAAAATAGAAAGCAGCTTAGCATACGCAGAGCAGGATGAGACAGTGTATTACTGGATTTTAAACAGTATAGGCGCTTAGTTTTATATAGCTATTCCCGCAACAGGTGCCAATCTATTAGAACTTAATTTTCTGACTTAAGTTCCACTTGATGTTAACAGAGAGGTGCAGTTCAGGGGTGTGTCCCTAACAAACATTTCCAGATATCCCAGTTTGAGTCTTTATGACAGTACAAATTCCTACCTATAAATGTCCTGACTAGTGCACCACGGAGGATCTACTTGTGACACCAACACATGAGTGATCAGTATTCAGCTATGCACCAACATACCTGGAGCTGTGATGTCAGCCTCACATTCAGGGGAAGAAAACAGCAAATAGTTTATAGAACCAATACTATTTATGTTAAAATATCTGAGTGATCACAATGTAATATTAAAGTATTGATAGCTGAATTTGTTGGTCTGTTTAGACGTATGAAGAAAAAACTTGCAAGAACGCATAACTTAAATGCTGAACAGAGTGGAGATAGATATGGGCGAGGCTGTTATTCTGGAAACCTGACCTGCTGGATGTGGACTGGAAATTCCCAGTAATTGGTGCTTTACACACACAATGTTCCTAAGGTATTGTATGTTCAGGGGACTTCAGACTATATTTAGGTCAATGGACTCAATTTAATGAGCTCCCATTGGCTGAAAATAGCCATTGTGGAAAATAATAATCGCTGTACCTTGCTGAATTGAGCCTAGTGAGATTTAATAAATGATGCATGGTATTTCTTGTAGGAAAATGCATGAAAAATGTATGCTTAGTCAGGGTTTGTGTTTTACAGAGCTCTGTGAATTTACAAAGCTACAGTGAAGAGTTCATTTAATCAGTGTGTGTATTCATACACAGTTGTGTTCAAAATAATAGCAGTGTGTTGAAAAAAGTGAATAAAGCTCAAAATCCTTCTAATAGCTTTTATTTCCATACACACAAATGCATTGGGAATACTACACATTCTATTCCAAATCAAAACATGAAGAAAAATATATCAAATTTGTGTTGTTCCTCTAAAAAAATTGAAGAAAAGTGAATATTAGACTGTTCAAAAAAATAGCAGTGTTTGTATTCTTTACAAACTCAAACATTCACTATATAAACTGAAAAATGTTTGAAGATTTTGCTTTCCTTTGAATCACTTAATGAATATTTAGTTGTATAAGCACTGTTTCTGAGAACTGCTGTACATCTGTGTTGCATGGAGTCAACCAACTTCTGGCACCTGTGAACAGGTATTCCAGCCCAGGATGATTGGACTACATTCCACAGGTCTCTATTTCTTGGTTTTGCCTCAGAAACTGCATTTTTGATGTCACCCCACAAGTTTTCTGTTGGATTAAGATCCGGGGATTGGGCTGGCCACTCCATAACGTCAATCTTGTTGGTCTGGAACCAAGATGTTGCACGTTTACTGGTGTGTTTGGGGTCGTTGTCTTGTTGGAACACCCATTTCAAGGGCATTTCCTCTTCAGCATAAGGCAGCATGACCTCTTCAAGTATTCTGATGTATTCAAACTGATCCATGATCTCTGGTATGCGATAAATAGGCCCAACACTGTAGTATGAGAAACATCCCCATATCATGAAGCTTGCACCACCATGCTTCACTGTCTTCACAGTGTACTGTGGCTTGACTTCAGTGTTTGGGGGTCGTCTGACAAACTGTCTCCGGCCACTAGACCCAAAAAGAACAATCTTACTTTCATCAGTCCACAAAATGTTGCGCCATTTCTCTTTAGGCCAGTCAATGTGCTCTTTGGCAAATTGTAACCTCTTCAGCACGTCTTTTTTTCAACAGTGGGACTTTGCAGGGGCTTCTTGCAGATAGCTTGGCTTCACATAGGCGTCTTCTAATTGTAACAGTACTCTCAGGTAACTTTACACCTTCTTTCATCTTCCTGGAGCTGATTGTTGGCTGAGTCCTTGCCATTTTGGTTATTCTTCTATCCATTAAAATGCTAGTTTTTCGCTTTCTTCCACGTCTTTCAGGTTTTGGTTGCCATTTTAAAGCATTTGCGATCATTTTAGCGGAGCAGCCTATCATTTTCTGCACTTCTTTATATGTTTTCCCCTCTCCAATCAACTTTTTAATCGAGGTACGCTGTTCTTCTGAACAATGTCTGGAATGACCCATTTTCCTCAAAATTTCAGAGAGAAATGCACTGTAACCAGCATGTACAACATTTGCTGCCTTCCTTCCTTAAATAAGGGCAATAATTGCCACCTGTTTTTCAAAGAATGAATGACCTCACTAATAGAACTCCACACTGCTATTATTTTGAACATGCCCCTTTCAATTAGTGATTCAATTGCACAGAATCAGCAGCATGCATGTCATGACTGTTGGATTTCTATTACTCTACTATACCTGCTAGTAAATTATTTGCCATGTAGAAATATTATTTCTACCAAAAACAGTGATTGATCAGGTTAGTGATGTCTGACTGCTATTATTTTGAACACAACTGTATATACACTATATTGCCAAAAGTATTGGGACATCTGCCTTTACACGAACATGAACTTTAATGGCATCCCAGTCTTAGTCTGTAGGGTTCAATATTAAGTTGGCCTACCCTTTACAGCTATAACAGCTTCATCTCTTCTGGGAAGACTGTCCACAAGGTTTAGGAGGGTATCTATGAGAATGTTTGACCATTCTTTCAGAAGCGCATTTGTGAGGTCAGGCACTGATGTCAGACGAGAAGGCCGGGCTTGCAGTCTCCGCTCTAATTCATCCCAAAGGTGTTCTATTCGGTTGAGGACTCTGTGCAGCCAGTCAAGTTCCTTCACCCCAAACTCGCTCATCCATGTCTTTATGGACCTTGCTTTGTGCACTGGTGCGTAGTCATGTTGGATCAGGCAGGGGCCATCCCCAAACCCAGGAAATTGTCCAAAATGTCTTGGTATGCTGACGCCTTAAGAGTTACCTCCACTGGAACTATGGGGCCAAGTCCAACCCCTGAAAAACAACCCCACACCATAATCCCCCTCCACCAAAGTTTACACTTGGCACAATGCAGTCAGGCAAGTACCGTTCACCTGGCAACCGCCAAACCCAGATGCGTCCATCGGATTGCCAGACAGAGAAGTGTGATTTGTCACTCCAGACAACACGTCTCCACTGCTCTAGAGTCGAGGTGGCGTGCTTTACACCACTGCATCCAACGCTTTGCATTGCACTTGGTGATGTAAGGCTTGGATGCAGCTGTTTGGCCCATTCCATGAAGCTCTCTATGCACTGTTGTGCTAATCTGGAGGCCACATGAAGATTGGAGATCTTTAGCTATTGACTCTGCAGGCAGTTGGTGACTTCTGCGCACTGTGTGCTGCAAGATGCACTGATCCCGCTCTGTCATTTTTATGTGGCCTACCATTGCATGGCTGAGTTGCTGTTCCCAGTTGCTTCCACTTTGTTATAACCCCACTAACAGTTGACCGTGGAATATTTAGTAGCAAAGAAATGTCACAGATAGACTTATTGCACAGGTAGCAACCTATCACTGTACCACGCTTGAATTCACTGAGCTCCCGAGAGCGACCCGTTCTTTCACAAGTGTTTGTAGAAGCAGTCTGCACCCCCAGGTTCTTGATTTTATACACCTGTGGCCATGGAGGTGATTGGAACACCAGAATCCAATGATTTGAAGGGGTGTCACAATACTTTTGGCAATATAGTGTGTATATATATCTAAAACTATTCGTCTTTGATGACACTACAGATTAGATATTTAACAGATCTTACAACAGTTTTGTTTCTGTGAAAAATATCAAATACATTTGAAGACCTGTGACTAGCGATCTTCCTGGTGCCACTGAAAATGGTTTTGTGGGCTAACCCTGCCACAGCTGACCTAAGTTGCTAACAATTGGTCTAGTCTTTTGGGATGTTTATCAGAATTTACAAAGACCCAGATGAGGTGTCATTGTGCAAGTAACGGTCGTTTGTGGAAACTCTGACAGCTGACATTTTCCATTACAGTTGGGATTGGGATCTTTGTTTTATTATGGTGTCTTCCCATGCAGTAGACTTCCTCTTATATCCTGTTATTACAAAAAAAAAAAAAAAAAATTATGGTTCTAAAAATAGTGCTTTTATTGCCATTGTGTCCCTGTTGGGTAATTCGGCTCATTTCCTATCCCCTATAAGAACTTCCCTTGTATTCAACCAGCTTATTTGCTATATTAGTCTCTAAATCTTTGTACCAAACTGGGTAACGGTAGTAGCAGGACTGTAATAAAATGGCAGCAACTTTGCTGCTCTTGGTTTACATGAATGATGGAACCTCTCAGTGATACTTGCACATCTCCATCCACCCATGGATGCTGACTGACAGAGAAGTACCACCTTGTGTAATACTTGTTTTGCAAAACAAATGTCCTCTAAGTGCCATGTTGCTGCATCGTGTGACCAACGTGGTCCTTTACAGCAAACCCTCCTCCTAGGTCACATCCAGATTACTTGCTTCATCTTTATTCTGGAGCCTTGACTTCCACTTAAAAATATATATATACACTGAACGGAGAAGCCACATGAAAACCTCAGTATATAGTCCGCTGAACAAGATAGCCTGAGTAGATACAACTGCCAAAATTACCTTTGCGTTTGAAGTTTCCATTTATCAGCTTCTTCCATTCTAGTGGCTGCTTTGCAAAACATGTCCCACTTCTTGTAGAGGCTGGTTTTACAAGAACAGCCTCCCCAATGATCAGTACTAAACTGAATGAATTAGGCACACGGAAGAAAAGCCCAAAGTAGATAAACCATGGTAGACAAAAGAAAACAAAAACAGGGTGGGTGAATTTCAGAAACTCCAAAATCAACCTTAACCACTTGGCCTCCTTACGATTTACCCCGCTTCCTGACCAGGCCTTTTTTTGCATTTTGGCGCTGCGTTACTTTAACTGACAATTGTGCGATCATGCAACTCTGCAGTCAAATTAAATTTGCTTTCTTTTTTTCCCACAAACAGCTTTATTTTGGTGGTATTTGATCGCCTGTGCAGTTTTTATTTTTTGCGTTATATAAAAGACCAATTTTGAGAAAAAAATGTTTTGTTTTTTTTTTTAAATCAAATTTAGTCATAAATTTACACCAAAATGTAATGGGCAGGAAGGGGTTAACATGAGGGGTGATCAAAGGGTTAACATTGTACAGGGAGTGTTTTACTAGGGGGCAGGGTCTTTGTGCTTCACTGTAATCACACAGCTCTGGATGGCTGTGCAGTCTATGTACATTAGGTCTGGGGACTTGGCTGCGCAGAACAGAATGATAAACGTTTGTAAAATGAAAGATAGTCCACAGATATGCATGTCAACTCTCAGATGTAAAATTAACCTAATAAAAGCTATGGGTGCCCTCTCCGGCTTGTACAGCCAGGTCCAGTGGATTCCATCCAGGGTGCAGGCTGGGTGAGAAGCCCATCCAAACTGCTTGCAAAGTCTGAAAAGAAAAAGTAATAAGCCATGAGCCGCACACCAAGCAATCCTGTACAACAAGGAGGTGGTAGCAGCCTCAGACTATGTTGTGGCTCATTACTTTAGTTCCCATACATGATTGATTATAAACACACATTTTATTGGAATCTGCCACTGATCACAGATGCAATGCTTTGCAGGCTCATGTGAAATTATGTGTGCGTTTTTTTTTTATTTTTACAAGATAATATGCAATCACAAGCTTGTTTCTACCTGTGATATTCCACTGTAACACAAATACAACTCTAGGTTCAAAAACATCATTTTTATTGGTACAGAGAAAATGATATACAGATGAAGTGAAAATGGAGAGGATATAACAGAAGGTAAATGCTCTCAGACACTTGTCAGAACTGACGATATGCTAATCACGCTCTGCAAGTGCAACAAGGTGAATGTCAATATCTGCTTCTGTGAGGATTCTGAAACAAGAAAATAATTTTTAGTCACACGTCGATGGAACACCATTTTTAACAATTCATGGCACTTGGTAAAGGTGAAAGAAATCTACACGATAATAAAACACATTCTTGCAAGCTATACATTCTAAGAATATCAAAAGCATTCTGTGAACAGCTTTTATAGCAACAAAACGTTCTTCCTGATCTTTAATATCCTAGAAAGATAAAAGGAAGGTAGGAAAGTTTTTATTATATTCCTGTACATTTGTAAAGTAGCAACCCAATAAGGGTCTGTTCAATTAGAAGTGCACAAAGCAACAATGTACAAAGTGCAGTTACCCATACAGTAGTCACAGCAAAGAGATCTAACTTGTCACCAGTCTTGACCATTCAGAGCCAAGAAAAGTTGATTCTGATTGGTTCCTTAGGTTTAAAAATTAACTGCATTTCTGCTAATATAAAGAAACAGCTTATATAGGGCAAACAACTTTATTTAAGGGCATGTCTCCTCCTCCCTCTGGTGGGACAGTCATGAATGATTAGGGTCCATTTCCCCACAACATTTGAGGGATAGTTGTTCAAAGACCCATTCATTTGTCATTTTTTCACAGATTTGTTCTCAGAACATTGCAATGTTTATAGAGTTCATAAAAACACTACTGTAATGAACAGTCATATACAGTGGATATAAAAGTCTACACACCCCTGTTAAAATGTCAGGTTTCTGGGATATAAAAAAATGAGACAAAGATATATCATTTTTCAAAACTTTTTCTGCTTTTAATGTGACCTATAAACTGTACAACTCAGTTGAACAACCAACTGAAACCTTTTAGGTGGAGGGAAGTAAAAATAAAAACCTAAAATAATAATGGTTGCGTAAGTGTGCACACCCTTAAACTAATACATTGTTGATGCACCTTTTGATTTGATTCCAGCACTTCAGTCTTTTGGGGATGAGTCTATCAGCATGGCACATCTTGACTTGGCAATATTTGCCCACTTTTCCTTGCAAAAACATTCCAAATCTGCCAGATTGTGAGGGCATCTCCTATGCACAGCCCTCTTCAGATCACTCCACAGATTTTCAGTCGGATTCAGGTCTGGGCTCTGGCAGGGCCATTCCAAAACTTTAATCTTCTTCTGGTGAAGCCATTCCTTTGTTGATTTGGATGTGTGCTTTGGGTCGTTGTCATGCTGAAAGATGAAGTTCCTCTTCATGTTCAGCTTTCTAGCAGAAGCCTGAAGGTTTTGTGCCAATATATTGACTGGTATTTGGAACTGTTCCTAATTCCCTCTACCTTGACTAAGGCCCTAGTTCCAGCTGAAGAAAAACAGCCCAAAGCATGATGCTGCCACCACCATGCTTCACTGTGGGTATGGTGTTCTTTTGGTGATGTGCAGTGTTTTTTTTTTGAACCAAACATATCTTTGGAAATTATGGCCAAAAAGTTCAACCTTGGTTTCATCAGACCATATAACATTCAGAAGTGTTTTTGCAAAATTTATCTGGGCTTGGATGTTTTTCTTTGTAGGAAAAGGCTTCCATTTTGCCACTCTACCCCATAGCCCAGTTATATGAAGAATACAGGAGATTGTTGTCACATGTGTCACACAGCCAGTAATTGCCAGATATTCCTGCAGCTCCTTTAGTGCTTCTGTAGGCCTCTTGGCAGCCTCCCAGACCATTTTTCTTCTTGTCTTTTCATAAATTTTGGAGGGATGTCCAGTTCTTGGTAATGTCACTGTTGCGCCATATTTTCTCCAAATGTTGATGACTGTCTTCACTGTGTTCCATGGTGTATCTAATGCCTTGGAAATTCTTTTGTGAGATCTCCCTGATGCTTTGGAAGCTCTCTGCGGACCATGGCTTTTGCTGTAAGATGCGACTAAGAAAATGTCAGGAAAGACCTACTAGAACAGCTGAACTTTATTTGGGGTTAATCAGAGGCACTTTAAATGATGGCAGGTGTGTACCGACTCATATTTAACATGATTTTAATAGTGATTGCTTAATTCTAAATACAGCTACATCCCCAGTTATAAGAGGGTGTGCACACTTATGCAACCAAATTATTTTAGTTTTTTGTTTACTCCCCCCAACCCTAAAAGATTTCAGTTTGTTCTTCAATTGAGTTGTACAGTTTATAGGTTACATTAAAGGTGGAAAAAGTTCTGAAATTATTTATCTGTCTCATTTTTTTTTACATCACAGAAACCTGACATTTAAACAGGGGTGTGCAGACTTTTTATATCCACCGTATTACTTGAAAGATACAAACCTGAATTTGGGATCCTGAATAGTCACCACAGCAACCTCAAGTTCAGATGGTTTGAAATCAATGGAAAGTACCGTGGACAGACAAGAGATGGCCGTCTAAGAGGGAAGAGAAAGTATGGATCAGAAAATGACAACTCGTCTGTCCCTGCAGTTAATATTTTTTCCCCACTGTTACAGGAATAGCCTGTTTAGGATTTACAGCAGAACTTTGGTGAAGGCACAACCTGCAGGAGTCAAGCTCACCAGATGCAGGAAGCTGCCTCCATCCCACTGGCCATCTTGTTTCTAAAACTATAGAAAAGAGAATGTTTCTATGCTGTTTTTTTTTAATTATATGCCGTGTTATTTTTATACTGCATAGAAAATAAAAAAAGAACCCGATTAATGCCGCAAAAATTATATAGACTGACATTGCTGACCTCTTTTCTGACAATGTTATTTGGCTGGCTAGATCTGGTTTCATTATTTTAAGAGTTACTTAAGTGCAACAGGAATGCAGCAAGTAAAGTCAATATAAAGTCAGAACCTTTTGCTGCAGTTATACCATGTCAGGGACAAGTACTCAAGTGAATTAATCATCATAACTATTTCGCACTCTCAGAAGGAAAGCTCTGTAATGGCAACCTTCATATCTCTGCCATGACCAGAACACAATAAAATATACTCTAAATAAGCATTTTGTGGTAATTTTAGGGGACAATAATTTTTCCAATGGTGACTGATGACAAAGTGACAGAAGGCCTAAAAGCTGCACTTTGTGCCGTAGACGTTATTACCTCCACACTTTGCTCAAATGTCCAATCAAATTTCTTCTTCACTTTCTTTTCCAGAAAGCTGGTAGCCTCTGTCTGTTTCACCCCAGCTGTGGTGGCCTTAAAGCCACAGTAGTAACCAGCTGGATCACATTTATAAACCTGAGGACCATTCTCCTCATCAACTCCAATAAGTATCATACCTGAAAAGAAACAGAGGAACATCTAAGAGAAAGCAAACTACAAGGTATGTGTTCTTTAAGTTACAGCTGGGAAGCTACTTACAGCAACCTAATGGCCTCATTTCTGCATTCTGTGTGTACACCTGAGAGATATCGGCAATACGCTTGCAAAGCATATCAACAGGAATCTCATAGCCATATTTGTACTTCCAGTTTGCAGCTTCGTAGCGTGCTCGCTGCACCTGCGACCTGCTGTCAGCTTGGTAAATGAAAAAAAAAAAGGAACAAATTATATGGAGGAAACACACATTGGAAACATCTCTGGGATGTGGCCAACGGTAACCAATCCACTTCTAGCTTATACTTTTCCACATTAAAACAGATGTTAATGCTGGATTGGATACTGGAGAAAACCGCATTTTAAATAAATGAACCCCAGTAAATTATTACAGTAGATCTACATTCAATAGGATATTGATACTAAAATAGGGCTGAACAGATTGCTGGATATAATTTCAACACTTTTGTGCTGCTGCACCTTTAACAAACAGCTGCTGGAAATGACATGCGTGGTACTGGTTGGGAAATGGTTTTATACACATCCTAAAACTGCAACCATCCACTGCCTAATCTACAGCATGGTTAAAGTCGATTATAAAAATGAATGCAATTACAAGATCAATAAAAATAATTGAATGTTTTTAAAGGAACTAGTGTAAGTGCCTGAATATGAATTGGTGTCAGCCTCTCGCAATCCCTTGTGCTGCAGAACTCAGACTGGGGGAGGGAGCAGCAGTATAAAGGTCAATCAGTTGTGCTGCCATGCTAATGTGCTAACAAGGAAAATGCTTACAAGAGGAATTATTATTATTATTATACAGTATTTATAAAGCGCCGATAGTTCGCTCAGCATTGTACATTACAAAGGGGGACAGAACATGTGACAGAACAATACCAACACAATGCAAAACATGAGGGGATCGAGGGCCCTGCTCTTTCAAGCTTACAATCTAGGAGGGACCGAGAGATGAGCTCATCAGTTTGCTGCTTCTCCTTGACTGTCCAGTCACACACCGAGGGATGGACAAGATCTGGCTGCATTACTAAAACTACAGTGGAGGGGGAAAAAAAAAGTCAGGTCTCCTGAATGGCTGTGCAATCTGGCAACGTTCTGTAAACCTCAAAAATGAACGGAGAGAGATACAAATACTTGGGCAGGAAAATAACTTCCTTTTGTGCTTTTCATCTATTGCATGTATTTCGCTGTTTGACTGGCGTTCATCTTTAATTATAATTTTATAACAATACATGTAAATTGCAAGGAGTTCTAGCTCAGGTTCTACCCAGTTGTTGTGGCCTATGGCTTTCACCTCTGGGACATTTCTATTACAATATGGCCATGAGAAACTAACAATTATTTTGCTTATGAAATACCAGATACTAGCAGAAATTTCATGCAAGGATGCAGACACCAGTGGCATACTAATGGGGTATGTTCAGCACTGGGTGCAGACTCATGGTGGGTGCAATGGCTGTATCACATTTATTCTTCTGCCCTGCACAACACAAAAATGACAACAATGTCAGGCGGCTGCAGCAGCTCCACCGAATCCGCACTGGTGCTTCAGTGACAGGGTGAGATCAGTGTGAGAAGTCTGTGTACTGTGGGTAGCCTATCAGTTATTCTGTGCACTGTACAGAACATTTAGCCTAAAACCCTGTGTCTATATAGAAATCTTACATTTCCTTTTTGTTGTTTTTAAATGTATTTCTATAAAATACATTTTCATTTTGCACTTTTACACTAAACTTTATTGCCACCACAAAGGGGCCTTTGTGGGAGTGTCAGGTACTCTGGAGACATCAGGGGTCTATTGGCATCTGAAAAGCATCATAGAAACTGCTGTTGTACTGCTGCATTGATTACAATGATGATAAAGAATCTAATGTGATCCATTTGACCTGGGGACAACCTTTTTACCAGGGATCTTACTAATGGAACCTTTAATGCCAGTAAAACCTGACAGGAGCTTTAATACCTCTGCACACTATCCAAAACTAAAAAAAAAATGTTTTGGCTATAGATGCACATTAAAAAGCCCCAGCTATTTCCACACAACTTCCTGTTGATCAGTTTGCAGAACAACAAATCTGCAAACTTCTATTGCTTTATCTGTGTAAAGCTGTAACATTATAATTGTGCACCAGTACGTAGTAAATTAAGGCAGAATAGCACAACATATCCACATACTCAGCCTTTCACAAAGTCCACATAGAGCAAAAACTAAAGCCTGTCAAATTACCTGTCATTCCTGTCATCACACAGCCAATGTTCTCAGTTATCCGGAATAAGTGGGTCACTGTGCAACTGTCTAGCAACTTGTCCTGCGGAAAAGAATAAACTCATCAGCAGATATTTCAAATAATATCCAATATTTAAGCAGGAGGCAGAGCAGATATGACCAGTTTACAAAGCTACACAATCCGGTTGTGACAAGCTGAGCAAACAATATTGAAGTGTATATATAGCTAGAACTTTTTTCATGCTTTGTATAAGGCAAGGAAACATTAAAAACATTTTTTTCTGTCTGTGTCCTATTAAGGAGATTTGCTTTCACTGCCTGCTCTGGAGACACAAAACAGGAAGTACAAGAAAATCTCTGCAAAGAGACAGAATCTTCACAGAAGTCATCAGAAAAGGTGTCTTTTGAAGATTTTCCCACACCTCTTCATGTGATGGCAATGGTAAAATCTTTGCGTTACCATTGACTTCTGTTTTGCTGACAATGGTCCCCAGGACAAATAGAGGATGAAACTAGCTTGTGGAGGGATTGTGAAGCCATCCCCTTAGTATTAATAATCTGATGTTCACAGAAGGAAGAACAAACGAATGCAGAGTGCAAAAAGCGTAGAACTACCGTTGTATCTTCTAAGAGCATAACAGAAGTAATGGAAAATGTCTTTCCATCAGATGCTGCTGTAATTTAGAAGACATTCTGCAAACAAAACAGATAAACCCCCCCCCCCCCATCTGCAGAAGATGGGAGCAGTCACATCCTTCCCCTGCACTGCCAGGTTTCTATCAGGAATCTCCTAATCTCTCAAAATACCACGTTTCACCATCCCTATGCTGACTCCAAAGAAAAGCAAGACGGTGATAATACATTTTATTCCCAGTTATTTACTACTGCCTCATTTGTGTTTCCACGCCAAGCTTCCTTTAATAAATACTCCAGTTTAGTGTAGGTCCCCAGCCTCCCTCTAGAATCACATTTTCAAGTTCGGGTGGAATGTCCATTTCAAGAATATTTCAAACAAACACAACTTACTGGAACCTTTTTCTGTGTAACAACAACTGCGCAGTCTTTTCCTCGCACTGCCACCGATGTGAGGCCACCTTGGTTAATTGCTTTAAAAGCATATTCTGAAAACATAAAATATATGAAACCGTAATAAGGTCATTTACAGAAATAATACTTTTTATTTCATTAAAAAATATACAATACAAATTAAGGTGTGTGTTAAAGTGTGCCATTTAAACTAGTATAATTTATTACTACGGTTTTCTTTGTTTACTGCGCCAATGCGTCAAAAAAAAACAGATTACAATATGCCCAACAACACCTTGATACGCCCCTCTGAGATTTTTTATTGAATTGGTGCAGTAAAGGCTTCTTTCTGGCAACTCGACTATGCAGCTCATTTTTGTTTATGTATTGTCGTATTATGCTTCTTCACAAACATCCACACCATATTTTTCCAGAGCATCATGTGTTTCTCCTGAAGTTGCCTGTGGGTTTTTCTTTGCATCCTGAACAATTCTTCTGGCAGTTATGGCTGCAATCTTTCTTGGTCTACCTGACTTTGGCTTGGTATCACAGAGATCCCTGAACTTTCCACTTCTTAATAGGTGATCAAACAGTACTGACTGGCATATTCAAGGCTTTGGATATTCTTTTATATCCTTTTCCATCTTTATCTAGTTCCATTACCTTGTTACACAGGTTTTTTGACAGTTTTTTTTTTATCCTCATGGCTTAGTATCTAGCCTGCTTAGTGCATCCATGAGAGAGCTAACAAACTCGTTGACATTTTATACACAGACACAAATTGCAAGTTATAAAGTCACAGATGTGGGAAATTAACCTTTGCCATTTTACCTGTGTGTCTGTACCAAGGCCAAACATTCCAGTGTTTGGAAACTTTTGATCATGGCCATTTGGGTGAATTCTGTTATCATTATGATTTAAAAAGGAGTCAAACAACTATGTGATCACAATCCTTAAATAAATAGTTTTTTGGCATGATGATTGTTCTGTTTACTAACAGTTCTCCTCCCTGTCAGCTCGGGCATACTGGTCTGGATGGCTGGGGGTGATTACAGTGAAGCACACTGGCACCGCCCCCTAGTAAAATACTCCCTGCCCACAGTTAACCCTTTGAGTGCCCTTCATGTTAACCCCTTCCTGCCCAGTGTCAGTGCTTTTTTTTTTAGCACTGATCACTGTATTGGTGTCCCTGGGGATGTCAGTGACACCAAGTCAGTTCCACCCAGTGTCAGAATGTCCGCCACAGTCCTGCTATAAGTTGCTGATCGCCACCATTACTACAAAAAAAAAAATATTTGAGTATCCATACTGCCATTTGTAAACGCTATGACTTTCAATTAATTTACACGTATTGGGATTTGTTTTTAGCAAAGACATGTAGCAAAATACATTTTGCCCTAAATTTATGACGAAATTTTATTTTTAAATTTTTTTTACTGGACTTGTTTAATAGCAAAAAGTCAAAAATATTGTTTTTTTAGTTTTTTTAAATTATAGCACAAAAAATAAAAAAAGCACAGATCAAATACCACCAAAATAAAACTCCGTTCGCAGGAAAAAAGGGAAGCAAATTTAATTTGGGTGCAGCGTTGCATGACCACGCAATTGTCAAAGTAACGCAGCGCCGTAACGCAAAAAATGGTCTGGTCAGGAAGGGGGGTAAATCCTCAGGAGGGCAAGTGGTTATCGGGCCCATTCACACTATGTGCAGTTACTTGTGTTTTCCGCATGGAACAAGACAGGTAACTGCAATGACACATAAAAAACAATAGAAGCAGAACCCCTTGTTTCTCTGTGTTCCATAGCAGTGAAATTTTATGTAACGTTTGCATAACAATGTATCGCAACATGCAAAAAATGTCAAAGTGCACCCCGATGCACCTCTCACCCACAATGAATCAACGGAAACATGACTTTAAAAAAAATTATGTGCAAAAAAATGCATGGAAACATGCATAAATGCGCATAAAACACACAGAAATGTGAAGGAAATGCACAAAAACGCAATGCGCTGACCGTCCGTTTTTATGTGTGTTTTAGTATGAATTGGCCCTAAGATGGCTTCATGTCCTTTGTCAGAAAACTGCTGAGTTCACTGGGTGTGCCTGTTCTATTGCTGCTGATCCTTTCACTTTCTCTTTTAGTATGTTATACAGAAATGAAAGGCTGGGCTCTTCAAAGAAATACGTACTTTTTACTTTAAATATGCTTATTATTTGTACTCGGACTAAAGACTATTAAAGAATAAGTTCACCTTTGGGAACATGTTACATGTTCTACCCGTTCTCAAGCAGCAGCCGCTCCCCCCCCCGACAGATAGTACGGGATGAAGCCTCCCCATACTGTCATATTTAAAAACAGCGCGGCCATGCGGGGCTCTCCCCACACGGCCGCATCGCTCATTCACAGACTTCCATGAATGAATGAACTGAATGTCTCGATAGCCTGAGCAGCTGTCGACTTGTAGTTTTCAATGAACTACTATGGCACTGTGGAACACTGTGGGTGATAGTTCATTGAAGCTTCTTGTCAGAATATCTGCTTGCTTGTACATCCCCTATGGCAAGCAGATATTCTGACAGGTCTGCAGGAGCCCTGCATGGCACCAGAGATCTACTGATCGCTAGTGCAACGCTTTCCAGGCTCCTGTAGACAAAAATAATAAATGCACATTTTTTTACCTGCAAAAAAATGTGCATTTATTATTTTTGTCTAAAAGGTGAACTTATCCTTTAATTATTTTTGACAGCTGAGCTTACGATAGATATACAATTAAAAACAACACTTTCTTCCCCATGACCTGTTCCTTCACTGAATGCGTTTGTGTGAAGGAAGCATAACCACCAACAAAGACTATCTGTAAATAATATGAAATTAAAAATGTGTATATAATTGTATAAAACAGAAGATCTTGCAAGGTCACATTGTATTGATCCAGCACTGTGCCCAACTGCAGTTCTTTCCTGCCTTTTTCTTCCTATAGGATGTTTGTGCCGCGGCCATTGGCTCATGCTGCTATCAATTAAGTCCTGTGAGCAGAGACCAGGGGGGTGGGGCCAAGCTATGCTGTGTGTGTCCATAGACCCACATAGCGAGACTGCGCAGAAGAGGGGGAGGCAAGCTATACATATACCATATCTGTTGCCACTACTCCAGAGATCGCTGTGCTGAGGGCTTGTCCTGCTTCATAGTGAACACAAGGGATTGCTCGCTCACCACATGCGCTACATTTGCTTTCTTTTCAATAAATACAAGGAGTACTCTGACTGAATAAGGTGGAGAGGCGGGGGTGACATTGCGATCTCCTCCTCACCCAGTCAGACAATGCTTCCATTCAATGAGGAAAAAAAAGCAAAGTTATTTGTGAATGGGGCCCCCATGCATTGCACCGTAGAGCACAATGCACATGCTAAGTGTTGTGGTGAACTGTGGTCATGCATGTCTTTTTTGTTCGTTGTAGTGCGATGACAATTCATAATATAATGTACAGCGCTGAGCAAACTACTGGCGCTATATAAATACTGTACAATAATAATAAATTAACTGTTTTCATACACACCATATCACACGCATGTTAATGCATCATAGGTGAACACTTAAAGCGGAGTTCCACTCGACATATCAAAAAATAAAAGTCAGCAGCTACAAAAACTGTAGCTGCTGACTTTTAAAAAACAGCCACTTACCTGTCCCTCGGTCCCGTGGTGTGTCCCCCGCAGCCCGTTTCACCGACCATTCTGTATCCCAGGAGGCTGGCATCTTCAGTGTGGGCACCCGGCTGTGATAGCTTGCGGCTTCACAGTCGGGTGCCCACTGCGCATGCGTGAGTAGTGCTGCGTGAATGGTCCTGTAGTCTCCTGGGACCTGTCACGTGTCCCAAAAGACTAGAGGTACAGAACATGTCAGGGTACAGGTACAACACATGCCGGGACCTGTAGTTGTGTCACAGCCTGCAATGTAGGTACAGCACATGCCGGGACCTGTAGTTATGTCACAGCCTGCAATGTAGGTACAGCACATGCCGGGACCTGTAGTTGTGTCACAGCCTGCAATGTAGGTACAGCACATGCTGGCACCTGTAGTTCTATCACAGTCTGCAATGTAGGTACAGCACATGCTGGGATCTGTAGTTCTATCACAGCCTGCAATGTAGGTACAGCACATGCTGGGACCTGTAGTTCTCTGTCTGCAAAGGAGGTACAGAACATGTCAGGGTACAGGTACAGCACATGCTGGCACCTGTAGTTCTATCACAGCCTGCAATGTAGGTACAGCACATGCTGGAACCTGTAGTCCCTCAGTGTACACACAGCCAGGAGGCATCCCTGTACCATTGGCAGCACACAGGTGTGTATTGACCTGTCATGGATGATGCGACACCCGTCCAGCCCAGTGCCCAGACCCCTGCCCAACCATCTGCCACCCGCTCCAGCCCCCGGGGCCCCTCAGGCCTGCTCTATGCCCCAGCTTTGCTTATCAGTGACTCAGCTTGACCACGGACACCCAGGCGGAAGTGAGCGCCAGGCCCACTCACCCCCACCTCACAATCACCGACAGGCTACTTCAGACAAGCAGGCCGCTCAGCCAATGGTGAGGTGCAGTGGGCGGGAGCTGGCAGCAGCCTCAGTGCCAGGCTTGAACCTTGCGAGGTGGTGTCATCTGGGGCTGTGTGATCCCAGTGAATGGTATTCTGACAGCTGTGTAGGAGTTGGGTCCCAATAGACATCACTGGGGCACAGAGCAGCTGGCGGGGGGGTACAGTACTGTACACCCAGTGTGATAGAGGCCTCATAAATAGCGGAATACCATAGATCGCCCCTACACGTGGGCACAATTGTACGTTTATATAGTCTGCAGGGGCAATGAGGTAAAACCCCGAGAAAGGTGGACTATGACCCCCCCAATACATCGATCACACATACAGCTACACACCCAATAGAGAGCAATTTCAGTGCAGAGGGACTAGAACCCCTGTCAGTTTTTGTTGCTGTCTGGGTCCCCAGTGGGAAGATTCCCCCTCTCCATTTGTCCTGTTTACCATTATCACCGAGAGTGAAAGTGAAAGAAAATCCAAAATTGCAGGTTGTCACCAGAACAGGAATAGGAGAATTCTTCCAATGGGGACACTACTTCTAGTGATCACCAGAGATTCCCTTATTTCCGGTTTTGCTGTGGGACAGGAAGTGATGGGAAATCTCCCCAGTGGAATACAGACAGAAAAAGATGACAGGGGTTACTTTATTGAAAACGAAGTGCCTAGACGTGTATATACAGGACATGGAGATGGTGTGTGTGCGCCATTCATAAAGATGATGTGACATGGCTGAGCTCCTCCATGCGCCTGCAGGCCGCCAGTGACACAGCAGCTGGGGATGTGAGGATCGGACAGGAGGCGGAGGATCAGGAGGCCGTGCTCACTCACCTACTTGGTAGAGTCTCCCTTCAGGAGAGAAGATGGTGATGTGCCGGTCAAACCCCGCGCTGGAGCCCCGAGACATGACTAGACAAAGCTGCTCCGCTTCCCCGACCTCACTGGATGCTGAGGCGCCGGCTAACACCGAAGACACACCGTCATCAGCCTGAGCCACAAGCGCACCAACTGGGATCAAGAACGCCCGTCACGTGAGGAACTGATTTCACATGGAAGCCATGTATGACTTGGGAAACTTGCCCACAATGACAAGTGCAATCCAGATGCAGTATTTTGGATTATGTTTCCCACAGGATGATAAATGCAGCAGTGTTCAGGGTTGGTTTTGCCTAAACATGGCAGCTGAAGGGCTAGTTCACACTACGTGTTCCAGTACGGTTTTTGTTCTCTCCAAAACGCACAAAAAGTAGGTTACATGGTTGTCAATGACTTGGTTCACATTAGTGCAGGGGCGGACTGACAACTCATGGGGCCCCCGGGCAATAGGGGATCATGGGGCCCCTGTGTCCTTGCCCAAACTCAAAAAAGCTATGAAAAAGGTACCAGGGGCATCTCATGGGGCCCCCTACTGACCCCGGGCCCTCGGCCAGTGCCCGAGTTTCCAAATGGTCAGTCCGCCCCTGCACCAGTGCTTGCAGTTCTAGTGTGTTGCAGTTCCAGAAAAAAAGTAGAACATGCTGCATTTTTCCTGCACAGAACTGTACTGGCACACAGTAAAACGCATCAAACATGCAGCAGAACGCACTGGAACACATCGAAAACACACTGGATCCAATGACCCAAAAAAGGAGGGAAAAAAGCATCTGGAACACACCGCAACAGGTACAAAACGCATGAAAAACACACATGCAGAAATGCATCCAGACTGCGTTTCTATGGTGTCAAACATTCCTTAGTCTAGGTTCACACCTGTGCAGTTTGCGTTTGATCCGTTTCTGCAGTGCTTTTTGCGGTGCATTTTGCGTTTTTGCACTTGCATCTTTGATGTGTTTTTCCTTTTTTTTTCCAACTTGTTGCTGGGCAGATTAAAACAAAAAACACGTCAAAAACACAACATTCCTGCAGCATGTCCATTGGAGTCTATTGAACCAAAAACGCAACGTTTAGCATTTAGAAAAGTCACTGACCCTTTCCAAAAAACGCACTGGGTGAAAACGCGGAGTGTGAATGTGTGCTATAGGAAATCATGGGACTGTAGTACGTTTCTGTAAAACACAACAAAAAACGCACTGGTGTGAACCTAGACTTTGTCTAAGCCCTCATGCACCCGGGGCGTTTTGATAACACTGGTAATGTTAGTGGTGTAAAATAACGTTTTTCAGCTTCTTTTAGTATTTTTGCATTAGCGTTTAGCGGAGTTTTTCCGCGATTAGTGGCGTTTTTCCGCATTTGTGGTTTTTAACCCAAAAAAAAAAATTGGGATGGGGTAAAAAAGTCCAACGCGTTTTATCGCGTTTGTACAGCTAAAAAAAACTCCCAGAAACCCGCTAGTCCTGGGTTTTTTTTTTCCAGCCAAAAAACGTTGATTCCAGTCTATGTGTGTATGGACACATAGGATAACATGCTGGGGGGTTTATTAGCTGTACAAAAAAACCATCAAAAGCCAAAATGGCCGCTGTAAAAATGTCCCGTGTGCATGAGGACTAAATAGACTAACACAGAAGAAACAAACATGGGCTTCTTTCACTACAGACTTTAACCTCTTGGCGCTGACCGCACACAAATGTGCAGCCTGCCGGGATCTGGGATTTGACGCCAAGCGGCCGCATATTTGCGTGCAATTAAAAAAAACATATGTGCCCTGCGCGCTCCCAGCACACATGTCTGGTACTCACAGAAAGGTCCCGATCTCCTCTTTCGATAGGGACCTTTCCCGATCATGTGACAGCGAATCACAGCAGTCACATGACCCTAAAACCCCGCCTTCCAGCTTCTGAAACCCTTAAAGGGCTGGGAGGCGCCAAGGGGTTAAAAAAGATGTCAGAAAGGTGCCCAGAGCAACCAATTATATTCCATTTAGTGATCATCAAGTGTGCATTTCGAGCTCCTGTCAGGTTTTATCGCTGTCTGTGCCCCCGTCATGGAGATTCCCTCTATTTGTGCTGTTTACCATTAGTATTCAAAGTGAAAGTAAATGAATTCCTAATTTTTAGGCTGTCCCTAGAAAAGTAAAAGGGGGAAATCTTCCAATGGGGACACTAGTTCTAGTGACTATGCGGTCTCCTAGGAATTCCCTTCATTTTCAGGGATTTCCTCTCACTTCCTGTTTGGCTATGGGACAGGAAGTGAAAAGAAATCTCTGAAATGGGACAGATGGCGGAAAATCTCTGATGGGTTATAACCCTCCCTTACTCTATCCAAAATGAAACAAAAAAGTTTTTCCTCTTCACAGATAAATTGACAGGCAAGTGAGGTGCAGTATTGCCTCCTCACCGCCTCCTTTAACTACTTGAACACTGCGCTAGTGCGCTGTAACTAAGTGGTCGCAGGGTGCCTGCAGAGCGCCCCATTCTTTCAGCTAAAAGGGGAGTGGTTGGGGGAAGTAAAAACACAACTCAACTGCGGCATTGAATTATAGCCCCTGGCACTTTCAAGTGAATGGGTCTGCTGTGCAAGCTCCCTGCAACTGAGTGCAATGCACATGGTTGTGCCGTGCTAATGTGGGGTTCAAGCAAGTGGTGAGGAGGCAATACAACTCCTTGTCACCACCTCTCAAACACAGAATGCTTTTCAGAAATCAAAGCACATGTAAACCAGCCCTTGGTAAAGCTCTGTGTATTATGAACAAATGCAATGTTATTCATTAACCACTAGCCTACAGGACACTTCTACCCCCTTCCTGCCCAGGCCAATTTCCAGCTTTCAGCGCTGTTGCACTTTGAATGACAAATGCGCGGTCATGCAACACTGTACCCATATGAAATTTTTATCATTTTTTTGTGACAGAAAGAGCTTTATTTTGGTGGTATTTAATCACCTCTGGGTTTATTTTTTCTTAAACAAACCAAAAACCACTGAAAATTTTGAAGAAAAAAAAGTTTTTTCTTAGTTTTTGTTATAAAAATTTGTGATTTTTCTCCTTCACTGATGTGCGCTAATGAGGCTGCAGTGATGGACACTGATGAGGAGGCACTGGTAGGTGGCACTGATGGGCATTGACAGGCATCACTGATGGGCACTGAAAGGCAGCACTGTTAGGTGGCACTGACTGGCACTGTTAGGCGGCACTGACTGGCACTACTGATAGGTGGCACTGATGGGTGACGCTGAAAGGCAGCTCAGATGGGCACTGATATGTGGCATTGATATGCACTGGTAGGCACTGATGGACACTGGCAGGTGGCATGGATGAGCACTGAGAGCTGGCACTGATGGACAGTGACAGGTGGCACTGCTGGGGCTACACTGATCATCAGTGCTCTGATGCTCAGTGTACATGTCCCCTCCACGGAATGCCGAGTACCGGCTCTCCTCTCCTCTCGAGCTGTCAGCGTGACAGCTTGAGAGGAGAGAAATGCCGATAACCAGCATCTCTCTGTTTACATGTGATCAGCTGTGATTGGACAGCTGATCACATGACCGAGCCGACATCTTCGGCTCTTTCCATGGATCGGCGATCTGCTGTATCCGAGGGACACAGCACACCGCCAATCGCCGCGCTCCAGGAGCCACGCATGCACGGTTAGAATGGGAGGACGTCATATGACGTCCTCCCAGAACGAGAGAACCTCTCCAATCAGGCAGGCCCTTGCACTACATAGTTGAAGGTAAATCTAAAGGAAATTGGACAGAAAATTGTATAGTGTGTGGCCAGCCTAATGCCGGCCATAGACGGGTCGAAAATTGGCCGATATTTCAGCTGAAAAAAAAACAAATCGGCTGATTTTCACACTGTTAGTGGGTTAATTGGTTGGCCGTTTTTCAGGTTTTTTGCACAGTTTTTTTATCGGTCATGTTGGAAAATTTGCGGCCCATTTTGACAATCGGCCGATTTTCCCGCCAATGATGGGCAAATCGGCCGATCGTTTTACCGATAAAAAATCAGCGCATGAACCGTGACCTGCAGAGGGACAGAAGCTATGGGGTGAACTTTATGATTTTGTCGGCCAATTTTTTTTACCGTTGTTGGTAACGTCAGCCGAGCTAACGATTTTTTGTTTTTTGGGTTTTTTTTTCCAAAAATCGGCCGATGTTCGACCCGTCTATGGCCTGCATTACTCAAGCTCTGTCAGATTGGATGAAGAGCATCTGTGAACAGCAATTTTGAAGTCTTGCCACAGATTCTCAATTGGATTTAGGTCTGGACTTTTTGACTGGGTCATTCTAACACATGAATATGCTTTAATCTAAACCATTCCATTGTAGCTCTGGCTGTATACTAAGGGTCATTGTCCTGTTGGAAGGTGAACCTCCACCCCAGTCTCAAGTCTTGCAGACACTAAGCCCAGGTTCACATATATGCGGTTCGGTACATCACGTGTGACTCACACAGGAATGGTTCACAGGTTTTCTTCTAAGATTGCCCTGTATTTGGCTCCATCCATCTTCCCATCAACTCTGACCAGTTTCTCTGTCCCTGCTGAAGAAAATCATCCCCACAACATGATGCTGCCAGCACCATGTTTCACAGTGGGGATGGTGTGTTCAGGGTGATGTGCAGTGTTAGTTTTCCACCACATATAGCGTTTTGCTTTTAGGCCAAAAAGTTCAAGTTTGGTCTCATCTGACCAGAACACCTTCTTCCACGTTTGCTGCATCCTCCACATGGCTTCTTGCAAACTGCAAATGGGACTTCTTATGGCTTTCCATCAACAATGGCTTTCTTCTTGCCACTCTTCCATAAAGGCCAGATTTGTGGAGTGCATGACTAATAGTTGTTCTGTGGACAGATTCTGCCACCTGAGCTGTGGATCTCTGCAGATCCTCCAGAGTTACCATGGACCTCTTGGCTGCTTCTCTGATTAATGCTTTCCTTGCCCGGCCTGTCAGTTTAGGTGGACGGCCATGTCTTGGTAGGTTTACAGTTGTGCCATACTCTTTCCATTTTCGGATGATGGATTGAACAGTGCTCTGTGAGATGTTCAAAGCTTGGAATATTTTTTTTATAACATAACCCTGCTTTAAACTTATCCA